TGTAAAAGCTAAAATCTCAGAAGCGCAATCAGTAAGATTGATTTGTTCGATTGGATTCACAGTTTGTTATACTTTTTCTGAAAATTCGTCTCAAATGGTATATTAGCTTTAATGAAAACAACAGTAGATGACGAAAACTAGGGATGTCTTTTAACCGATGATTAGTAAGGTGTTCGTGCACTTTCTACAATCAAGCAAATCAGTCACATAGTTTGTGTTCGTGGCGCAGAACGCGCCTGTGTGCATTGTGCAAAAATTCTTAAAACAGAGTGACTACGATCTAACGCTTGTGTATGATTAGATTATGTGATCAAGCTGAGACAGTTCTTTCCTTTATCGCTGTCGGCAACAGAAGGCGAGATGGTAAACATCTCGCTCACTCCAGTTTAATATTCATGAAATAATGAGGTTAAATATATAGAGTCAGGCATGACTGTCTATTCACAATGAAACCGCATACTTTCCATTCACTTTGTAACACTTATATATTGATCACCTATATAGAAACGCTACGGTTGCAATATTTGGTCTAAGAATACGGGATTTTAGTAGCTCACCGAAAGACATATTCTTCAACAGCACATAGGAATTGTTTTCCTTCCATAGGGAATCCAATAGCTATTTCTTTCTGTTAAACTCAAGTGCTGTCCTATTAGTATGATGGATTCTCTGCTCGGTAGCGTTTCAGTTAGCCTCTGAATTGAGATAATATCTCTAAAGCGCTCGTTGCTAACAAACTCCACACACGAATATTGGGGAGTTTGCTCTGCGTTTTGAACAGAACGAGCAAGTATATGAGTCTATTGAAACGAACAATTGAGTCCGTAAGTCTATTTATCTCTCGGTGCCGTTTTCAACAGTAACCAACGATTGTCGACAATAATATACTACTCATGAAGTGTTCGCGCTATACGCACCGTTCAAAGCAAGTGAAATAGGAGAATAAGTGATCTGTGTTTATGGGTCACACGACAGATCAAGACCGCATCCAAAATTGGAAAATACTGGATAAGACTGTGTCCAAAGTTGACGCGTAAATGAAATGGGTAACACTCCGAACATCGTTCGGATCTGACACTATGGGTAATACTGAGATTTAGCGCTTAAGGTGAGCCAATCGAATCAAAGAATTTGGGTAGCACACCAAATGCGATAGACAGTTCACACCTTCACAAACTAGTGAATTGAATTTTTGTGCGTGTGTTTTCGTGTAAGTGCATGCGTGTGTTGGATATTGGACTTTAATCGAACCAGCTGGGGGAGCCAGACGCGCGTATTCTGAACTGAGCCCAGAGCTGCGGGGGGTGGGTGGATGAATGCCGGGATAAAATAAGGTGCATGTTTATGGGGCTGATTGCACTGTCGTCAAGGTGAGGAAAATTCAGTCACGGGGTTGTGAAAATAAAGAAGCTCACGACGAAAAATGGCGTCAATAAAGGCTGTGGTTAAATTACCCCTGAAAAATGGGGACTTCGCCAAACATAATAAATGGTACTAAGGTACTTGATCAGCCTACTCAGTGTCCATGGATGTTTACCCAAACAGTAAACTACGAAACTTCCAAAAACTCAATCCTTTTCATAAAGACAATAAAGGACAGATATTGGATGGCTTCCAGTTGCCGGCCCAGAGTAAGATGTCAAAAGGGGTTATTTCTGTGGTAAATTTGGCTCGATATTCTTTGCTCTATATTGCTAGTAAATATCCACCTTCGATATAGAACAATCGGTTATTGTCCTGGTCTGCTATTTGTGTAAAAATCCCAGTCACTTCGGGCCAAAGCTGTCTCCTTTACATATGTCTTCCACGGGAGAAAGATGGACCTCATGGTAGATAATAACAACCGACAAGAAATAAAACACTGAAGACAAGAAAATCAATAGTGTATATTGACCCCCACTCAAATGTTTTTATCGAATCGTTATTTACATCCACGGGGCACATATGGTGTGCAGAACGCCATCTCGGGACTGGTTTTCTTCATGCATGTTGTTCATAAACGGCGAACGCAAGCAGTGAGCCAAGTTCACAAGTAGACAATTTTAGTTCCATCAGATATTATCAATATTAGTTCTAAAAAGATCCGGATGAAGAGGAATCGTCGCAAACTGTACATTGAGATAGACATTGCCATACAGGGAACAGATCAGTCTAAACGCAGACACGATGCGAAGCAAAGGTGGAGGTTTACTAAGGAAATCACGTTGAGCTGTATTTCCGACTGGGTCATGAGAAATTCATCCACGAAAAGAATTACGGCGTTACACAAAAGCACATGTTTGCAATCTAGCAGTGTTTTTTAGAGCATCTACGTTTTTATGTTA